TCCCTCTTTCCTTTCCTTCTCAAGCTTATGTCACTTCTACTCTGTGTGCAACTACTTAGATGTCATCAGAGAAAAGCAGACATTCCTGTTTATAAAATCTACAGGCCAAATTTCTGAAACAGAAGTTGTTCCTCTTTTGCTTGTTCTGTGGTCAGATAACAACTGTATTGATCATTTCATAAATTGTTGTCAAAGGGAGGAACAGGATTAGGATATAGCAAGGCACAGTCCATTCATAGATAGCCTGAGATACCCTCACAGGCAATACACTCAAAGCTTAGCTCACTTAGTTATCCTTTCTAGGACTGCTCATCTGGAATGACAGTGTAAATCCTCAAAGACCACATCTTACCTAGCTAAGAACAAACAAATATCCATACTGGACAAGCTATGCTGGAAACAAAGAATGCACTCATCATATTCAAGGTAATTTGACATAACACCCACCCATCATGAAAACAAAGAGTTTTTTATGTGGAAAGTGTTCTTACCATCTCCAGGGACCAGTGTACAGCCACATCTTAGTAGAAGTGTAAGGTTGAGAAGCTTTGCACCAGGGAATTATGATTCTGGCATTTCTCTTTGTTTTATGCCAGCATTCCTGAGAGGTCTTATTTTATGCAGAGATCTTCAGCATGAGGCTACACATTCCTTGTCAGACTGTTCACTATGACTTCACAGGCACAAAGATCACTCTTGGCATGTTCTATAAATATTGACAGCATAGCTGAGAAGAGCATTTGCAAGCTGCAAATCCCACCCGGAGTGATTTTCAAGATTAATGTAAAAATTAGCACAAAGTAGTAAAAATGCTGCTTATCTTTCAATTTTATCAGGAAACATGGGTGTGTTAGCCTTATGCTCTATGAGTGCTTCAGCATTATGAGACAACCTATTTTGTTACAGATTTATATTTTGATTCCTTTATCTGCCAAGTCTCACTCTATCCTAGCACTCTAATTCTCAAAATAATTATTCTAGTAACCCTATGGCTGCTAAAAGTTTATTCCATAAATACACATGTTAGATAACACATTTTCACACAAAGGAGAAGAAATGTGTTTTCCAACAATATTATTTCTCTAAGCTTTGTTGCTGAGTTCAGTCTACTGAAGCAAAACTACTACTACTGCTAAACTGAGAGTAGGTATTAAAATATTCACATCTTAAGAATTTTGCCCTATATTACACAGAGAGATTTTAGATCTGAAAGTGCTAATGGCACAAATGAAATCTGTGGAAAGTTTGGAGAAAACCTATTTTGTGCTGTCAAGCAGTGATTTATCCGGGACTTATATCAGTAGTAGGGATCTACTCATATATGACCTGGAATTTGCTTGATTTTTCTGAGTAGATGACTTTTTTTTTTTTTTGGTCAATATTCAGAGACAGAACTCAGAAACTGCTCTCTCCCAAGGTTTTGGTCTCTTGGAGATCACACCTTCTTGATATTTTCCTCATCCTCAAGCTATTACCTGCTCCTCAGTCTCTCTCCGTCCTTTCCCCAAACTGCCCTGATCTTCTCCCTTTTGTCAGAGGAAAAACTGGTATGTAAGTGGGCAGCTGAGCCCACTCATCAGTTCCAGGAACATCTATCCACAAGAGAAGACTTCCAACCTGAGCACAAGTCAAGCAACTCAGACCTCTCTGTCATTGCCCATGGGGATGTCTAGCTGGGATGCAAAGGGATCTCTGTTAAAAAGAGCCTCTCACAGGAGGCTCACAGGTCACCTGGAATCATAAAGGTCAGAAGGGACCTTTAGAGATCATCTAGTCCAACCCCCCTGCACATACAGGGTCACCTAGCACATGTTACACAGGAGGGTTTTGAATATCTCCAGAGAAGGAAAGTGAAGAAGTTTCATGCTTTGCTCAGGAAACAGAGGAGATGGGCTTAGTTGGTCATAGATTTCCTCTGTTGGCACTCTTTGGCTCAACCTCCTCAGTTGAAAAAAGCTTGCCAGTGGGAACCACGGAGGATGTGCCCTTGAAGGAACAGACTGAGACGAAGGGTTGAGAGGAGGAAGGATTGAATGAACAGATAGTGTGTGCCTGGCCTGGCAGAGGTTGGGGCCTGCAGTCTCAGAGCATCTCATTGAAAACAGCTCCAGTCTGAGGGGGGGCAGAACAATCGCTAGAAGCGTATTGTGTCATCTGGATTTCCCTTCTGGTGGAGGATTTAGGTCAGAGTGAGGGGCAAAGTGATAGCTTGGTTGCTTTCCTCAGGGACTGGGCACAGTTCTCCTTTTCCACAATCTAGCTAAAGCCAGACTTTAAGCTTCCCAATTAAGTCTTTGAATGTTCTGAGAAATACTGTTCTTTCAGACCTGCTTTATCTAAGGTCAGCACTCACCATCTCATGGCCTGGATTCTAGAATGTGAATATAAACCCTGGGGTCTTGCTCCTCTTCAGCATGAGTGACTCAGAACCTCAGCTCCAATCCTTCTCTGCTTCTCCCAGGAGTTGTTATGTACACTGCGCTGAAAAAAATAATTGGAAAACAGAAGGTAATACTGGGAAGCAGGCACTTGAGTCCAAGGTCTCCCTTTCCAAGTGCCCTAGTCATTTGCCGATTCAGACTTGCTCTTCTTGAATTTTTTTCTCCATCCTGCACTCTTAATTGCCAAGGCCCTCCTGTCCCCTTTCCCTTCTCGTTCAGCACCTGGAAGCACTGGGCTATGAGACTATCAGCAGTTTTCTGCATTCTCCTGTAAAGACTTCCTATTTTTCTCTTCACCTACAGGCGATCTTCTCTTGGAACTACTTTCATTTGTATGTGCATGGGGTTCAGAGACTACCCAGACAGCCAGGATTTCAGACACATTTCTGTGCTTGCTGTTTCCTGGTGGCTGGCTGAGGGCTCTTCCCTGGGCAGGGTCATGGGACTTCCATGAGCTTTTCCAGGGATCTCAGGAGGGGCCTCTGGGTTTGAGCTCCAGGCGGGGTCCAGGACAGCCCCAAATGTGGGTGCTGCAGAGCCAGAGCACCCTTCTGAACAGGCTCTTAATGTACAGGGCCTGATGCTGGATTATTACCTTGGATCCCACACATCATTTTCTGACCATGTGTCCGTGTTATTCACTGAGCTTTTAAGAACCAAATGCCATGACCAGGAGATGAAGATGTTTTGATCAGACAGAATTTAAAACAGCTCAAGTGACAGTGCCCTTTTCCCAAAACTAGATCAGTTACTCGCCAGGACTACCAGACGAGTAACTGGGATCAGGACTACCAGCCAATTCCCCCTTTCTCAGAGTATCAGCATTGTACTGCTTACCACCTCTAGGGCTCTGGGATAAGCGTCCTGTGTTTCTAACACTTTTTGCTGGGACTGAGAATGTGTAGGTGTGTGAGGTATTTGTGATGAGATGGGGCTATTGGACTGAGGCTCCTTTGGAAGGCAGGGTATGTGGGGTGAATGCTGTGTGTGTGATCGTGTGTGCAGTTATGGCTGGTGTGGAGCAGGTGCTGTGGGAAGCTGCAGTCAGGCAAGGGAGCCTTTTCTGCTCCCAGCCTTGACTGAGGTCATTGGTTGATGTATGATGTTGTTAGTGGGCACATGCATACCTGAGACACAGACCTAAGCTGGGTAAAGGCTGCTTATTTCCAAGGAAATGGAAATTGCTGCACATTGAGGAGTACTAGATACTGTAGAGTGTGTATTTTTGTGTATTGCGGAGAACCACATATTTCAGGGTGAAGTTATTCCCTGACCTAGGTTACTTCTGCATGTTTGGCTTTTTTCCTGCAGAATGTCTATACAAACATGGAGAAACAGCAATGATTTTCACTTTTAGTGACTTCCCTATTGCTAAAAGTACTAGACATTAATTGTTGCATAATATTTCCAGCTCAGCTCTGTAATAAAAGCATTACAACTATTAAAATCATTTTTTTCCATATTAGGCTACATCATTTCCTCATTTCTGGTGTGGGTACTGTGAGTAGTTTGCTTGAAACTATGTGGGACTTCAATATCAGTTATTACAGAGCTTAACAACTGTAACCAAACACTCCTCTAGTATGTACCTGTTAAATTTGGCAATTTTGCAAGATATTAAGTGTAAATACTCTCACACACAAGTTTTGTTCCTTTTGATAGCCAGGGAGATACTGAAAAAAAGATAGCTGTTATCTGCGCTGTGCAGCAGGGATATGCCAAAAAATATGAGCTGGGTCAAGAAATAAGTCACTGGAAAAGTCAGCAATAAAATCCATAAGTAAGCCCTACATCCAAGTTCTCCAAGTGCCTTGACTAACAGAGATTCTCTCCTTAAGACTCTTGTCAAATTACTTATAGTAGATATTTTAACATCACTGGTAAGATATAAAACATTTCTAATTATATCTGGTCAAATCAAATGACCATTATACCCTCACTTCAGTTTGCCAGACAATACTTTGCCAAAGAAAGTTTGCCAAAAAATGTTTTGACCGAAGAAAGAGGAGAAATCCAGAGCATCTGCATCACAGACTCTATATAAGCCTCTTTGGAGCGCTCTGCCCCGTCTCTAGAAAAAGTTTCAAGGTAAGTGTGCTGTGTCTGGAAATTTGTTAAAATCAGGCATCCCCCTTTATTGCATATTTATGCAGTGTATTCTTACCACAGCAAAAGGCTTCCAAATCAGTCTTTCCATCTGCTGTCAAGGAGCCATAATATTTTTAATTATAACTATTTTTAATTATACATTGCAATGAGAAAATGCCTTTTTTTTTGAATTTACACTAACTGTGCAATCTGTCCAATGCCACAAGACACAAACAAAATCAAATTTTTAAAAAGTTCCTCCCTATTATTCAGGTTTGAATATAGTATATTTCTCTTTTGGCTTCCAATTATTAGATAATAGGAAATTTATTTATAGTAGACATTTCAGACTTCATCGTAGAGCTTTGTAAGATGTAGCCTTGCTAACACAGAATATTTTTGATCCTCGGATACAACATTTCTCTTCCCACACAGGGTCCTCTGCTGACGTGCTCCCAGTAAACTGCAGCCATGTCTACGGACGCTGAGATGGCCGTCTTTGGGGAGGCAGCTCCCTACCTCCGGAAGTCAGAAAAGGAGAGAATCGAGGCCCAGAACAAGCCTTTTGATGCCAAGTCATCAGTCTTTGTGGTGCATGCTAAGGAATCCTTTGTGAAAGGGACAATCCAGAGCAGGGAAGGAGGGAAGGTCACTGTCAAGACTGAAGGTGGAGAAGTAAGTAAAATACAAGCTTCAGAGCAGCATTTACTTCTCACTTCGAGCTCTTAGCTACCATGTATGGATCTCTCATTTCCTTGGCAGACTCTGACCGTGAAGGAAGACCAAGTCTTCTCCATGAACCCTCCCAAGTACGACAAAATCGAGGACATGGCCATGATGACCCACCTCCACGAACCCGCTGTGCTGTATAACCTCAAAGAGCGTTATGCAGCCTGGATGATCTACGTAAGTAGCAGCCACAGGCTTCCCGCAACCCGCGAGGGAGAGCACTGTTGGCCTACCGAGGCAAAAAGCGCCAGGAGGCCCCTCCCCACATCTTCTCCATCTCTGACAATGCCTATCAGTTCATGCTAACTGGTGAGTTGTTTGGTTTTCTTCAAAATTATTTGGACACAAATATTCTCAAATAAGACTTTTTTTTCTCTGAAAATGACACAGTTTTTTTGAGGATGTTGTGAGGGTGAATGTCCTCTCATCACTGCAAACATTTTCTTTATTCATGCCGTATTTACAACAACCAAGGCTGTAACTTACTACCCAAGATATTTGGGAGGCTATAGTTTAATGCTGAAAACACTGTCAGTTTTCCCTTCAAATAATTTGGAATATACTTCTGATTTGCTTATTGGTAGGACTGTACTATTAATAATTTGCTTTGCAGGATTGCAAGTCACTTGAGTGGAGTACTTTGAATAGGATTTGGTCTTAATGGAATGGAGATATCAAACTTCATGCTTCCTAGAGTGATCTATGAAACTGCAGGGACCAGGCTCAGCTAGACTTCACTGCGAAACCTGAACCTCAGAAAATTGGAGAAAACTCTCCCCATTCTGTCCAGCTATATAGCCTATGAAAGGATGCTGTTAAACACACGTAGGCTTTTTTTTTTCTAAACAAAACAAAACAAGAAACACTTTGCAATGTTCAAATGACTAAAATAGAAAGCATCATAAATTCTGGCAAGGCATCTGTGAAAACACAGGAAGGCATGCAAAAAGAAAAGTTTCAGAACCAAATTGCAGAAAGCATAAAATTTAATACTTAAAAAAATTAAAATACATAAGAATCAGAAAATTTTCAAACAGATCTGTGGATTCACTCTGCAGTTCTTATTTAAAAGGACAACTTAGAAAATACAAGGCCACATCAGAACAGTTAAATTAGCATTTATGCCTGTTTATCTTGAAGGCTAATAAAAGTATTCATTTCTGGAACAATTTGTTCTAGAAGGATTCCCCAGAGGAACTGCTTCTCACTGAAGTCTACTTAAAAGAAAGTAGAGAATAAACCATCAGAATAAATTTTAATAAATTGCCAGGACAAAATTCTCCCAAACATTCCAGTGGAATGCTAAAGATGAACTGAAATCTCCTTGGAAGATGACGAGTGCTGTAGAATTTTTTTTAAAAGATTGAGAGCAGAGAGCATACCAGTAAGGGTGATGATCACTTGTGACAGCCCAACTGGTAGAAACTTCTAAATTAAGTGACTACTGGACATGTGAGTATATGTTACTTACCAAGAAAAACTGATGCAATTCTTTTAAAAGGCATCATGACTCACAAATCCTCTGCCTTTTTTTTTTCTTTTTTTGATCAAGGCAGAGCCCAAACTGTTATGTATGAAAACTCAACTCTAGCTGTGGAGAAAATAAAACTTGAATATTCGAGCATAACGAAGTATACTTTAGCGAAAGGTTGCTACATGTTTGCGATTTCATTTTCTCTAGGCAATAGTTTACTAGCTATGGAAAGAATGATCACGTAATAGAGGCCTTTAGTCTTACAGTTGGTTGTCCCTAAGTTATTCAGGTTGTGAGAAGCACTTTCACTACTTCATTACAGTTTACAGATAGTTCAGTATTATCTTTACAGATAGTCCAATATAAACTGGTAATGCTACCTAAATGTACTTCAGTTTCGACTCCTTTATACATA